GCTCAAGTTCTCAAGAAATGAGTTTGTCAATCTAGATGATGATTTAAAAGTACAAAACTCCGGTGGCTTCCTAATATCGGAAGGGAGAGCATTCAAGACGGCCGCAGAAGCGCATCTGAAAGCGCCACGCGACGACGTGGTGACCACCGTCTTTGTCCGGTGACTATAGCCAAAAGCCGCTCCTGCTGCTGCGAGAACGACCAGAGTTTGCGTGATGATGGTTTATGCTCCTTCACGAGATCATTTGTGGCCAGTGCTTGGCGTGCATAATGAGCCCAATGTCGTGAACTATTCATATTCTTTGGGCCTTTCGGTAAAGTCACGTGTGATAGATTCAAAGAAAACAAGGGCTGCCAGGGTAAGCCCTTTGATTGGTGGAAAACCCACCACTGCCGCAGTTGCTTCCCACCACCTGCATTGGCATTGGCTGCTGACATTTGGGCTACGCCCATCTATAAATCTTCATAAGCAGTTTGTCTTTAGAAGCGAACCCCCCTTTTCCTGATGACGACCGCTTGCGTTGCGATCGAAACGTCGTAGTTTTTTTGTTATTTCTTTGAACCTATCCACGTGACTTTACCGAAAGAAGCAAAGAATATGATTCCTGCAGTCACGAAAGCTCTCGGTCAAGACGTAACCTATTCGTTCAGCAACCGGAAGCCACTGCGACTCGGACGATCACCCGGTGCTTCTGCTGTCCCCAACAGTGAAGCGGTGGTCCAGGTCACCGGCGATCCGACGCTCGCTCGCTCATTCGCCCGTTCGCCGGAGGGGTGGGTGGGGGGGGTCAGTCGCGCACCCTTAGCGCTCTTATACCGCTGCAGCTGCTGCTACTGCCGTGTGCACTTCGCTCGTTGATTACTTCACCCAAGTTAAGGACTCAGTCTACCAGACTGACTTTTTAATTTAACCACTATGGTGTATACCCGTCAACGCCTCATCAGTGCCCTACCTTATAGCAGACCAATTCAGACCGTATTGATCACCCCGTGCCCTTCTAAATCTCAACGTTTATCCCACAAAGTCCCACCACAAGTGAGAAACACAAACGCCGTATGGACCCTGCAAACTCAATTTCCCCCATTACTCAGCTTATCGTAAGTTAGCGACGCTGCCTGCGGCGTTGACGGTCAGCAGGGCGCCACGCTTGCAATCCATAGGTCGTCGGTTCGACTCCACCTCCCTGCGCGGCGGTCTAAACGCTCGCAAAGTGTCCAAAATCCACCCACCCCCCTGCCTCTTGTCAACCCAGCAGCACTCTAAATGTATTATGTTGAACTTCTTTCGCACCGTACGTGGCCAAACGTGTTAATCGAAGGAGCGGGTACGTACGTTACCCTTCTTTCGCAGCGTACGTAGCCAACAATCGCGCTAATCGCAAATGTGCTTCTCCACAGTCGATTGGCGGGACGCGTTGCGCGGTGGGGTAAAGTGTGGCTAGCGTGGAAGAGTAGGCCAAAAACGCCTCTAGAGGGGCTATAGAGCTCGTTCGTTTGGAGGCTGCTGCCAGCGGCGATGCGAGCGAGCGATCGCAGGGCTGCGCCTTTGGCCTATACAAGGACTCTTTGTTTACGAATGAGTGGGGTTCCAGAGGTCTGTTCATAAGCCGATTTGTTCGTCAGTACAACTTTACTCCTGTCGATTCCAAACATGTTGTACGGCATGTACACTAAACAAGGGGAATTGGTTTAAAAGTTGTATAATCTCCTGTAGATGTAGATGCCACTGGTTCTTCACGTTGTGCAGATGTAGATGCCACTGGTTCTTCACGTTCTGCGGATGGAGATGCCACTGGTTCTTAATGTTCTGCTGATGGAGATGTCACTGGTTATTCACGTTCTGTTGGTGTAGATGCCACTGGTTCTTCACGTTCTGCAGGTGTAGATGCCACTGGTTCTTCACGTTCTGTAGATGTAGATGCCACTGGTTCTTCACGTTGTGCAGATGTAGATGCGACTGTTTCTTCACGTTCTGCTGATGTAGATGCCACTGGTTCTTCACGTTCTGCAGATGTAGATGTAACTGGTTCTTCACGTTCTGCAGGTGTAGATGCCACTGGTTATTCGTGTTCTGCAGCTGTAGATGCCACTGGTTCTTCACGTTCTGCAGATGTAGATGCCACTGGTTCTTCACGTTCTGCAGATGTAGATGCCACTGCTTCTTCACGTTTTGTAGATGTAGATGCCACTGGTTCTTCACGTTGTGCAGATGTAGATGCTACTGTTTCTTCACGTTCTGCTGATGTAGATGCCACTGGTTCTTCACGTTATGCAGATGTAGATGTAACTGGTTCTTCACGTTCTGCAGGTGTAGATGCCACTGTTTCTTCACGTTCTGTAGACGTAGATGCCACTGCTTCTTCACTTTCTGCAGATGTAGATGCCACTGGTTCTTCACGTTGTGCTCATGTAGATGCCACTGTTTCTTCACGTTCTGTAGATGTAGATGCCACTGGTTCTTCACGTTCTGCAGATGTAGATGCCACTGGCTCTTCACGTTCTGTAGATGTAGATGCCAATGGTTCTTCATGTTCTGCAGATGTAGATGCCTCTGGTTCTTCACGTTCTGTAGATGTAGATGCCACTGGTTCTTCACGTTTTGTAGATGTAGATGGCACTGGTTCTTCATGTTCTGCAGATGTAGATGCCACTGGTTCTTCACGTTCTGTAGATGTAGATGCCACTGGTTTTTCATGTTCTGCAGATGTAGATGCCTCTGGTTCTTCACGTTCCGCAGATGTAGATGCCACTGGTTCTTCACGTTCTGCAGATGTAGATGCCACTGGTTCTTCACGTTCCGCAGATGTAGATGCCACTGGTTCTTCACGTTGTGCAGATGTAGATGCCACTGGTTCTTCACGTTCCGCAGATGTAGATGCCACTGGTTCTTCACGTTGTGCTCATGTAGATGCCACTGTTTCTTCACGTTCTGTTGATGTAGATGCCACTGGTTCTTAATGTTCTGCAGATGTAGATGCCTCTGGTTCTTCACGTTCTGCAGATGTAGATGCCACTGCTTCTTCACTTTCTGCAGATGTAGATGCCACTGGTTCTTCACGTTGTGCAGATGTAGATGCCACTGGTTCTTCACGTTGTGCAGATGTAGATGCTACTGTTTCTTCACGTTCTGCTGATGTAGATGCCACTGGTTCTTCACGTTATGCAGATGTAGATGTAACTGGTTCTTCACGTTCTGCAGGTGTAGATGCCACTGTTTCTTCACGTTCTGTAGACGTAGATGCCACTGCTTCTTCACTTTCTGCAGATGTAGATGCCACTGCTTCTTCACTTTCTGCAGATGTAGATGCTACTGGTTCTTCACGTTGTGCTCATGTAGATGCCACTGTTTCTTCACGTTCTGTAGATGTAGATGCCACTGGTTCTTCACGTTCTGCAGATGTAGATGCCACTGGCTCTTCATGTTCTGTGGATGTAGATGCCAATGGTTCTTCATGTTCTGCAGATGTAGATGCCTCTGCTTCTTCACGTTCTGTAGATGTAGATGCCACTGGTTCTTCACGTTTTGTAGATGTAGATGGCACTGGTTCTTCATGTTCTGCAGATGTAGATGCCACTGTTTCTTCACGTTCTGTAGATGTAGATGCCACTGGTTCTTCATGTTCTGCAGATGTAGATGCCTCTGGTTCTTCACGTTCCGCAGATGTAGATGCCACTGGTTCTTCACGTTCTGCAGATGTATATGCCACTGGTTCTTCACGTTCCGCAGATGTAGATGCCACTGGTTCTTCACGTTGTGCAGATGTAGATGCCACTGGTTCTTCACGTTCCGCAGATGTAGATGCCTCTGTTTCTTCACCTTCCGCAGATGTAGATGCCACTGGTTCTTCATGTTCTGCAGATGTAGATGCCACTGGTTCTTCACGTTCTGCAAATGTAGATGCCACTGGTTCTTCACGTTCCGCAGATGTAGATGCCACTGCTTCTTCACGTTCTGCAGATGTAGATGCCACTGGTTCTTCACGTTCTGCAGATGTAGATGCCACTGGTTCTTCATGTTCTGTAGATGTAGATGCCACTGGTTCTTCATGTTCTGCAGATTTTAGTTTTGGAGATCGCTGTTTATCGTATGGGGGGGGGGGGGGCGGCATGACGCGTGCGTCTGCAAGCGCCAGTGGACTGTGCTCCGCGTCATTTTAATAAAATAAATTTGATCGTTTTTTTAGTTTAATGGACGCTCAAATATCGCCGGTTTAAATCCCCGTGACATTAATTCGGGCTGATTTACCGAGCAGCCGGGCTGGCTTCGACCGTTAAAGTTCGGCCGTTTTTCCATCTAGACAAGTAGGGCGCGCATGCCCGCACGCACGCACGCACGCGGCGCTACCGGCACTGATAAGTGCCGTAATGCAGCACGCCGATCGTTCGTCTGTCCGTTTAGCTCCGTGGGAGTGCCTGTCGTGTCGGGCTCTGCTGGGGCTGCTCGCCTGTTGACCAACCCCCCCCCCCCCCGCCGCGCACCACCGATTGGCACGGTTGGATACGTACGGCGCAACAGAATTTCGACATGCACACATACACCGCGCGCCCGCTTAGCAAGCTTGGCTACGCACGGTGCGAAAGAAGTTCAAAATGCATCGTTACTCTGAACGCACGTTGATTCTAAATGTGGAGGAGAAAACCGGGGACCCGGAGAGAAAAATCCACGCGACCACCACGGGGAGAGAGAGACACGCTTACTCCGAATATACAGCTGGCGTCGGGGTCGGAATCGAACCCACGGCCTCCTATAATGCCGCGTGTACCGCGCGCGACATTTCACGGGCGTCATAAATTAGCCGAGCTCCGTGTCAATTCAAAGCGGGACCGATCGCCGCTGCTGACAGAGCGGCCTCCACTAGGAGGGGTAGGCCTAGAGGGCCACCGCCCCCACCCACCCAACCCCGCCACCTCTTGGGTATTTGGGCCGGTTCCCGAAGCGTGGGACCCACACTTTACCCCACCGATGTGCCGAACCTGAACCCGTCGCTTTGCCGCCCGCAGACGGGAGCAGCGACCTGAACTCGGAGCTGCAGCGCGTGCTCTCGGGCCTCGAGAGCGCCGTGTGCGGCCGCAAGAAGAGCGGCTGCAGCATCTCCGCCGCCGAGGTGGAGCGGCACATGGACCAGCTGACGGCCGCCAGCGAGCACTGCGACCTCGCCATCAAGGTGCGACGGCGGCGTGACGTCGGTGTGACGACGGTGTGATGCCGGCGTGACGACGGTGTGACGAAGGTGTGACGTCGGCGTGACGGCGTGACGACGGTGTGACGACGGTGTGACGACGGTGTGATGACGGTCGTCGCGACAGCGAAAACTTTCACAGCGCTTGCACTTGTTCCGTCGTCAGTCTTTGTTAGCGTGGGGCAGTGCCTTGATCATCATCAGCAGCAGCAGCATCGCGATGTCGCTTGGTGAATTATTCTGCAGCCGAAGCGTCGTTCAAACAACAACAACATCGGCAAACGTACGATTGTGATCTGAGACGATAGGAACGAGGGGGGGGGAGGGGAGGGCCCCCCTTGGGGGTGCTCAAGGGAGCCGGCTTCGGTGTCTCGCTTGCCCCTCTCAGTTCGTGGCTCCTCCACGCACAGAGGTACCGATTAATCGCTCTGCCGAACGATGTGAATAGGTTTTCCCCTTTTTTTTGGCAACAGAACAGCTGCGTTAAGATATCAAAACACCAAACTGAAACCTTTTTACAAGGAATCGCGTCTGCGTTAACCGCAATGCGCTTGTGGTCAGAATGCAAACAAAAAACACACTCTGATAACATGATGCATTGTCCTTGAAACCGATTGGTCCACACCAGAGACGGCTTTCTTTAGAGCATCGTCTCTAAAACGGTGTGAGAACAGAGGACGCGTTGTGGAATTTCTCGGTTCCTCCCCCCGCCGGGAAAATCTAAATCAAAAATTTCCGCGTCGATGGCGCCATCCGCCGCTCACTCCGCTCATCTCGGATTTACGCCGCGGTCAAGCATTGCGAGTCGCCGGGCAGAAATCGGCGGGGGCAGAATTATCGTGAGCTCGGAGAGGAGGGGCGCGGTGTGGGGGGGGGGCGTGGAGGGTGGGGGGGGCGGGGGGAGTGGAGGGTGGGGGGGGGAAGTTCCAGGCACTGATCGACCACCCCACGGGTGCTGCCTATTTTATCACCCGTGTAGGTTGTTGTGAGCTGGCCGGCCACGAACCGTGGCGTGCGTGCGCCCGCGCATTACCGCCCGCAGGTTCCGCGCCGTTGAGGGAGTCGGCGCCGGCCGCCGTGAACAATCGAACTTTATTTTGTTTTATTCCCGTCGTGCGAAATATTCGCTGTCGGGTCCTCGATGATCGAGCACGCAGCATGCCGCAGCTACCACCAGGAATCTTCACCACCCTCTCCACTCACCACCCTCTCACCACCACCCTCTCACCACCACCCTCTCACCACCACCCACTCACCACCACCCTCTCCCACTCACCACCACCCTCTCACCACCACCCTCTCCCACTCACCACCACCCTCTCACCACCACCCTCTCCCACTCACCACCACCCTCTCACCACCACCCTCTCACCACCACCCTCTCCTACTCACCACCACCCTCTCCACTCACCACCCTCTCCCACTCACCACCACCCTCTCACCACCACCCTCTCACCACCACCCTCTCACCACCACCCACTCACCACCCTCTCCACTCACCACCACCCACTCACCACCACCCTCTCCCACTCACCACCACCCTCTCCCACTCACCACCACCCTCTCCCACTCACCACCACCCACTCACCACCACCCACTCACCACCACCCTCTCCACTCACCACCCTCTCCCACTCACCACCACCCTCTCACCACCACCCTCTCACCACCACCCTCTCCCACTCACCACCACCCTCTCACCACCACCCTCTCCACTCACCACCACCCACTCACCACCACCCTCTCACCACCACCCTCTCCCACTCACCACCACCCACTCACCACCACCCTCTCCCACTCACCACCACCCTCTCCCACTCACCACCACCCTCTCCCACTCACCACCACCCACTCACCACCACCCTCTCACCACCACCCTCTCCCACTCACCACCACCCACTCACCACCACCCTCTCCCACTCACCACCACCCTCTCCCACTCACCACCACCCTCTCCCACTCACCACCACCCACTCACCACCACCCACTCACCACCACCCTCTCCACTCACCACCCTCTCCCACTCACCACCACCCTCTCACCACCACCCTCTCACCACCACCCTCTCCCACTCACCACCACCCACTCACCACCACCCTCTCACCACCACCCTCTCCACTCACCACCACCCACTCACCACCACCCTCTCACCACCACCCTCTCCCACTCACCACCACCCACTCACCACCACCCTCTCCCATTCACCACCACCCTCTCCCACTCACCACCACCCACTCACCACCACCCTCTCCACTCACCACCCTCTCCCACTCACCACCACCCTCTCACCACCACCCTCTCACCACCACCCTCTCCACTCACCCCCCTCTCCCACTCACCACCACCCTCTCACCACCACCCACTCACCACCACCCTCTCCCACTCACCACCACCCACTCACCACCACCCACTCACCACCACCCTCTCCCACTCGCCACCACCCACTCACCACCACCCTCTCACCACCACCCTCTCCCTCTCACCACCACCCTCTCCCACTCACCACCACCCTCTCACCACCACCCTCTCACCACCACCCTCTCACCACCACCCTCTCCCACTCACCACCACCCACTCACCACCACCCACTCACCACCACCCTCTCCACTCACCACCCTCTCCCACTCACCACCACCCTCTCACCACCACCCTCTCACCACCACCCTCTCCACTCACCACCCTCTCCCACTCACCACCACCCTCTCACCACCACCCTCTCACCACCACCCTCTCCCACTCACCACTACCCACTCACCACCACCCACTCACCACCACCCTCTCCCACTCGCCACCACCCACTCACCACCACCCTCTCACCACCACCCTCTCCCTCTCACCACCACCCTCTCCCACTCACCACCACCCTCTCACCACCACCCTCTCACCACCACCCTCTCCCACTCACCACCACCCACTCACCACCACCCTCTCCCACTCACCACCACCCTCTCACCACCACCACCACCACCCTCTCACCACCACCCTCTCACCACCACCCTCTCCCACTCACCACCACCCTCTCACCACCACCCTCTCCCACTCACCACCACCCACTCACCACCACCCTCTCCCACTCACCACCACCCTCTCACCACCACCCTCTCACCACCACCCTCTCCCACTCACCACCACCCTCTCACCACCACCCTCTCCACTCACCACCACCCTCTCACCACCACCCTCTCCACTCACCACCACCCTCTCACCACGGGCAGAGTTCAGGGGGGTGATACGGTGGGGGCGATGGGGGTGGGGGGTGTTTGTGAACTTGAGCGAGTCTCAAGAAGGGGGCCAAGAGGCTCCTGGGAAGGGAACGCTCTGTCGATACGGCACAAAGAGCACAAAGAGCACAAAGAGCGCGCTTGCTCCTGCGCTCCGCTCGCCCCTCGCTCTCTCTCTCTCGCTCTCCCATACGGGCTCGCTCGCTCGCTCGCTCACTCGCTTGTGTGCGTGAGCGCATCGATTTGGCAAGGGATTTTTTTGGTTTTGTTTAATGGGCCTATGCACCCCCCCTCCCCCCTCCACTCCTTTACCTCCCTCCACCCTCTGGCCACGGATGTGTTGCCCAAGTGTCAAGAAGCCTTGAGCTGCAGCCGTTACGTTGAGAACGGGAACCCCCAGCACAACACCCCCCCCCCCCTCCCCCCCCCGCTTCCCCCTTGCACGAGACGATCAAACGCGGATTTCTACAGCGTCTGAATACACGGGGCCACGTCGCAAGAGGGTGGGGGGGGGGGAATGGTGGCAGTGGCCGTGGTGCTGGGGGGGGGGGGGTAACGACGGCGTGCAGGATTCGTCGAGCGGCCTGCGAGAGCGTGGATCTTCAGGTCGCGTGCGTGAGGATTAATGCTTCTCTGATTCGTGCGTCCGTGCGCTTGTAATGGGTTCACGTCACCCCTACGGCCCACTCGAGGTGCTGCCATTCATCATAGTGTACGTTTAGTTTTTTTTTTAAATAATTTATTGAACGGGAATAGCCGTCCCGGATCATGACATTTCATTGAATCGCTGGGCAGGGTTGAGTGGTGGTGGTGGTCGTGGTGGCGGTGGCGGCGGTGGCGGCGGTGGCGCTGGCGGCGGTGGTGGTGGTGGCAGTGGTGGTGGCGGTGGTGGTGGCGGTGGTGGTGGCGGTGGTGGTGGTGGTGGTGGTGGCGGTGGTGGTGGCGGTGGTGGCGGTGGTGGTGGTGGCAGTGGTGGTGGCGGTGGTGGTGGCGGTGGTGGTGGCGGTGGTGGCGGTGGCGGTGGTGGTGGTGGCGGTGGTGGTGGCGGCGGTGGTGGTGGCGGCGGTGGTGGTGGCGGTGGTGGTGGTGGTGGTGGTGGCGGTGATGGTGGTGGTGGCGGTGGTGGCGGCGGCAGCGGCAGTGGTGGCGGTGGTGGCGGCTACACTGCTGCACGTGGCTGCTGCCTGTAATCCGGCAAGCGCTGTGGAAGCGGCAGCGAGGGTTGGTAGATCACCGCACGGATGTTGTCGTTGCTGTTGTGAAACTGCCTTCACCGTGGGTGTCGAGGAGGGGGAGGAAGGATGGGAGGGTCTCTGGCTCGCCAGGTGAAGGCAGTCACGGCAACACCGGAGGGCTCCAAACGTTCCTTCGGCACGGGATCGAGTGTTGCGCCATCGCGCCCCCATTTCACCCCACGTGTGAACGCTTCGTGAATCGATGGACAAATGACGAATGGGCTTCTTTACCCACCTCTGCCAATAAAACAGGAGGCGTCAAGATGTTCAAGCGCCAAATGTGTTAACCACACGCAACTTGTGGCAAAAAAAATGTGCAAACGAGCACGCTATGATAATGTTGCCACAAAAGTCGAAGCTTATTCTTGTTATTTTTTTCCCCCCATCATTTTGATACCTGCAAGAAGGTCCCCATAGATACTCGTTAATTGGCAGGAAACGCCGTCTCTGCGGTCACGTGAATTTTCATCGCTGGGTCTGGTTTGGAATCCGGCGTATTCGAGCTGCTAGAAATGTCAAAGTATTTGGCTGCTGCACATTTCCACGTGATGAGCCAACTTCGTTGAGCTATCGTTCGTGGACAGGTCGCCGCTGAAAAAAAAGCTACGTAGCTCAGTTGGGCCCCTTTACCTGGTCAAATTTTAAAAAAAAAAAAATATTTTTAACAGTGCCTTTGCCTCCGTAGTGATGTTTAGCCACGCGTGCTAATGTGCACGGCTTAGTGCTCTGACACATTTGTTAATGCGGCGATTCGGAGAAATTTGTGTCCGCTCTCAGTCTCGTAACGGCGCGCGCCGGCGCCGTTGAAAGGGACCGCGTCTCATCTGCCGCGTGCAACCTTCGCCGAAGCGGCGCACGCACACGCACACACGCACACGCACACACACGCACACGCACGCACACGCACACGCACGCGCACACACGCACACACACGCACACACACGCACGCGCGCGGTCGGACGCTTGTTCAATGGTGTGCGTGAGAAAACTATACATTCGTGTGTCTGTATTACAAATACAACATTCGACTCGCGAAAATGATTGGATGTGAAAGCAAATCGAATGATTGATTGCTTTTTGGTTTACGTGCCGTCTCTTTCTCTCTGCGCATCTTCGCGAAGGAAGGCGCTGCTGATGTTGCTGCTGCTGATTATGATGCTGCTGCTGATACTGATGATGCTGCTGCTGATACTGCTGCTGATACTGATGATGCTGCTGATACTGCTGCTGATACTGCTGCTGATACTGCTGCTCCTGCTGCTGCAGCGTTCCACAGGCACGGCCTGCGGTAGTTTCACAGGTGGCATGTAGTATTATTATTATTTTTTCTACCACAAATAATCTTTTGACTTAAAGCTTTCGGGTCTGCAGGAATTTATATTCTTTGGGTCTTTCGATAAAGTCACGTAGATAGGTTCAGATAAAATAACAAAAAATGACAAAAATCTGATGACAAACGCTTGTGTTGCGATCAAAACGTCGATGTTTTTTCGTTATTTTTTGTTATTTTCTTTGAACCTATCTACGTGACTAAGACCCAAAGAACACAATGAAAATTATATTCATCATTTATTTACTTGCATAATTTCGGTCGACACGCGTGTTGCATTAACTGGGGGGGGCGGCCTGTCTAACCCCTCGAACCTCCACGACGACAACGATGGCGATGACAACGACGATGACGACGATGATGACGACGACGACTATGACGACGATGACGACGACGATGACGACGACGACGACGATGATGACGACGACGACGATGACGACGACGACGATGATGACGAGTATGACGACGATGACGACGATGACGACGACAATGACGACGACAATGACGACGACGATGACGACGACGACGACAATGACGACGACGACAATGACGACGACAATGACGATGATGACAACGACGATGACAACAACGACGACTATGACGACGACTATGACGACGGGCAACAAGCCGCTCGGCCACGTCGCCCTCGCTCTGCGCGTACGGTCTCCGCTCCTGTAACGCCACGCGCTTCGTTTCCACAACGCGAGCTGGATATGCAACGTGAGCGAGTGAACAGAACTACGTCGCGGCGCGAGGTAGGAACAAGCTGCCCCGGCGTAGCGTCATCGCACGGGGCGGGGTGCCGCCAGACGCGCTCTTGGTCCGGCCTGCGTCTCGCGCTCAATCGCGGGCCGCGCTTCACCACACGATGTACTTCGGGAACAGGACCGCTCCCGCGTTATAGGAGAAGGCACCGTAGGTCACGCGGGCGGCGGGGGGGGGGGGGGGCAGGCGGTGGGGGGGCAGGCGGTGGGGGGGCAGGCGGTGGGGGCAGGCGGCGGGGGCGTCACCCAACCCAAAGGCAGTTTTGGAGGCCCCGGACGTTGACTTGGAGCCGATTTTGATCGCCCGCGGTCGTTCCGCACGCGATGCCAACGGACGCCTTCTCGGCATCCGACTTCGTCGGAAAATGCCGCGTCCGCGGGCGGCCACCCGCCGATCGAGAGCTCGTCACGCCGTCTTGACGCGCGAACCCCGGCGGCGGCGGAAGTGCGCTCGCTTCGGTTGGCGGTCAACGTTCGAAGAGGTGACCCGCGACCCTGAAAAGGAGTGGCGGGTGCCCTCCCCGTGGTCGCCCCCCCCCTCCCCGCCCCCCCCCCCCCCCCCCCCCCACGTGATCCATGGATCAAACAAATCGCTGGAGACGCCGGCGCACGGCAGCGAGAGCCGTTGACGCGAACGCTGTCGCGAGAGGTCACGCGTTGGGAGCAGCGCTCCTTCGCCGACCGTGTGTGGTGAATGAGTGAGTGCTTGGTCGCTGTCGTGCCCACGTCTGTCGCAGCTTGAGTTCACTGCTTGTGTCGACGCTTGTGTGACCACGTGGCATGACCACGTGGCGTGTGACCGCTTGTGTGACCACTTGTGTGACCATGGGACGTGTAACCGCTTGTGTGACCGCTTGTGTCGCGGCTTGTGTGACCATGTGGGGTGACCACTTGTGTGACCACGTGGCATGTGACCGCTTGTGTGACCGCATGTGTTTACCGTGGGACGTGTAACCGCTTGTGTCACCGCTTGTGTGACCGCTTGTGTAACCGCTTGTGTCACCGCTTGTGTGACCGCTTGTGTGTCGTCGGTAGTGAGCACTGTCACGATCGTGGCTGGCCGCGCGGTGGTCAACGAGCGTCGCTCCCCTGTCGTCCGAGACCGCTGGCTGCGGCACGAGATGGCGGTTTTGTTCGCTTTCCGTTGTGAATGCGGTCCCCGGTTGGGTGTAGCGAAATATTTCACGTATGTCAGTGTGTGTGTGCGCGCATGTCTTTGCCTGTACGTGTGGGGAGCGGTAGTGTCGTGGTTAGCTCACTGCGCTACGAACCCGGCAACCCGAGTTCGATTACCGCTCACGGCCAACACCGGTGATGATTATCAAAACCGGTTCTGGGCCTCCCCTAGGTTTACTCAGCCTCATATGAGTACCTGGTGCGGTGTGTAAACATCGTCACTAGGGAGACAAGGGCGGCCGGTTGTGGTGCTGGCCACCCACCCCCTGCTCACGAACAGCACTTGCCCCAACAGTCTGTTCAGGCTATACGGGGGATCTTTGTCTTTGTGTGTGTACGTTGACACAGTAGGGGGCACAGGTGGTGCGTCAGCCAGTCATCTCAGTCAGTCGACCCGTGGCACCTGGGTCTGCCCCGTGACCTGCCAGCGGGCGTTCGACACTTCACGTGGCCTCAGGGTACACATGGCCTGGCACAAGTACCGTGGCGACGTCACCGCCACTTAGTGGCGAATGGCGGCTGTTGTTGTTGTTGTTGTTGAAGCCAACCGCGCCAATCGGAGGTGCGGGGGCTAAGGACGGCGCTTCTCTGCGTGCTCTCCGGAGCTTGTCTCCATGCTTGTCGTCAATAATCCTCGGTGGCGATCGGCGTGGCACGAAACAAACAACACAACAGCAGCGCCGTCGACGCTGCGGCCTGAAAGAGGGGAAAAAAACGCAGACGCCGGGACGCTGCGTTGGGCCTCCTCGAAGCTGCCGCAACGTGACGATGTTGAACCGCCGCCACGAGTTTTGTCGGGCGAGGCCACGTTACGATTTGGCCGCGACCAGCAGGCGCGCCAAGGTCCACGCGACCGCCGTCGCCCCCCCCGATGCGCCCCCCCCCCCCCCCCAGCCCGGTGCTTCCACGGTTGTTGGGGCGACTTCCACGGTTGTTGGATTTCATTTCGCGCCGTACGCAGCCCAGCCGTGCTAACCGGCGGTGCGGGAAGAGAGCGGGGCCTCGTGAAAGCTGTTGCCGTCTTCCGCCCCCCCCCCCTCCCCCAGTGATGAGAGGCCCTCCGCTGTGAACTCCAGCGCTCGACTTGTTTTCACTTCATAGCGTTTGTCCTGAGGGTGACCCCACCACCACCACCCACCACCACCACCACCACCCCATCTCAAATGAGACTCTACCCTGGTCTCTCGCGTTGAACAAATTCAACGCGACTCGGATTCAGGCGACGAACTCTGGATGACCGCCCCCTCCCCCCCCCCCTCCTCCGGCACGTCCCAGACGGTGGAGGAGCTGGAGGGCGAGCTGGGACAAGATGTGTACCCGAGCGTGGCGGAGGAGCGGGCGCGCTGGGAGAAGGAGCTGGCCGGCCTGCGGGATGAGAGCGCGGGCCTGGCCGCCCGCCTGTGCAGCAGCGAGGACGAGCTGGGCCGCACCCGTGCCTCGGCGGCCGCCGTGCGCGAGGAGCGCGACCGCCTCCGCCGCCGGGTGAGCCGCACGCCCTCTCTCGCTCTCTCTCTCGCTCTCTCTGTCTCTCTTTCACTCTCTCTCTCTGTCTCTCTTTCACTCTCTCTCTGTCTCTCTCGCTCTCTCTCTCTCGCTCGCTCTCTCTCTCGCTCGCTCTCTCGCTCTCTCTCTCGCTCGCTCTCTCTCTGTCTCTCTTTCACTCTCTGTCTCTCTCGCTCTCTCGCTCTGTCTTTTTTTCGCTCTCCCTTGCTCTCTCCCTCGCTCGCTCTCTCGCTCTCTCTCTCGCTCGCTCTCGCTCTCTCTCTCTCTCTCTCTCGCTCGCTCGCCCTCTCGCTCTCTCTCTCTCGCTCTCTCGCTCGCTCGCTCTTTCTCGCTCGCTCGCTCTCTCGCTCTCTCTCTCTCGCTCTCCCTCTCTCTCTCTCGCTCTCTCGCTCGCTCGCTCTTTCTCGCTCGCTCTCTCTCTTGCTCGCTCGCTCGCTCTTTCTCGCTCGCTCGCTCTCTCGCTCTCTCTCGCTCTCTCTCGCTCTCTCTCTCGCTCTCCCTCGCTCGCTCTCTCGCTCTCTCTCGCTCTCTCTCTCGCTCTCGCTCGCTCTCTCGCTCGTTCTCTCGCTTTCTCTCTCTTGCTCCCTCGCTCTCGCTCTCTCTTTTTTTTTACGATCAGAAGAAACAAGAAGATGCTCGGTGTAGTCGGCACTTTGCTCCGTTCATCATTTCGGTTTTTTTTCAATGCTTTGCTTTATGTTAACCCCCCCACCCCCCTCCCAATTTAAATGAATGATTTCACAAAAGATTTCACGCTCTGCTCTCCTTACCCCTTCCCTTTCTCTCTACCCCCTCTCTCCCTACTCCATGTCTATGTTCCCCCTATGTTTTCTATGTAATATTTGTACTTTTATTAATATAAAAAAATTGTATGTAACTACGACAAGTGCTGCATCTGCACCCAGCCCTTCTCGCAGTCCTACGGCCTCCGACGGGTAGCTCACAATCTGCACGCAGAGCTCTCCGTCATCTGCCACCGAGCACACGGCCTCCTCTAGCGCCCACTGCTCCTTGAAGGCCGGCACGGCGTGGGTCAGCCGCGCGTGGCGGAACTCCGGCCACACACCCTGGCTCCGACCAGAGCGCGGAAGATGCCCAGGCTGCTGGCTGGACGTTTTCCCTCCACGGCCACCTTCCTCGCCCTGTCTCTCTCGCTCTCTCTCTCTTTCACTCTCTCACTCTCTCTGTCTCTCTCTCTCTCGCTCTCTTTCTCTCTCACTGTCTCTCTCTCTCGCTGTCTGTCTCTCTCTCGCTGTCTATTTCTCTCGCTCTCTCTCTGTCTGTCTCTCGCTCGCTCTCTCTCGCTGTCTCTCGCTGTCTGTCTCTCTCTGTCTCTCTCGCTGTCTCTCTCTCTGTCTCTCTCGCTGTCTCTCTCTGTCTCTCTCGCTGTGTCTCGCTGTCTCTCTCTCGCTGTCTGTCTCTCTCTCGCTGTCTGTTTCTCTCGCTGTCTCTCTCTGTCTGTCTCTCGCTCGCTCTCTCTCGCTGTCTCTCTCGCTATCTCTCTGTCTCTCTCGCTGTCTCTCTCTGTCTCTCTCGCTGTCTCTCACTGTCGCTGTCTCTATCGCTGTCTCTCGCTGTCTCTCGCTGTCTGTCTCTCTCTCGCTGTCTGTTTCTCTCACTCTCTCTCTCGCTGTCACTCTCTTGCTGTCTCTCGCTCTGTCTCTCTCTCTTGCTGTCTTTCTCTGTCTCTCTTGCTGTCTCTCGCTGTCTCTCGCTGTCTCTTTCTGTCCCTCTCTCGCTGTCTCTCGCTGTCGCTGTCTCTCTCGCTGTCTCTCTCTCTCTCGCTGTCTGTCTCTCTCGCTGTCTCTCTCTCTCTCACTGTCTCTCTCTCGCTGTCTCTCGCTGTCTCTCGCTGTTTCTCTCTGTCTCTCTCGCTGTCTCTCGCTGTCTCTCTCTCGCTGTCTCTCTCTCGCTGTCTCTCGCTGTCTCTCTCTCGCTGTCTGTTTCTCTCGCTCTCTCGCTGTCTCTCTCTCGCTGTCTCTCGCTCTCTGTCTCTCTCTCTCTCGCTGTCTCTCTCGCTGTCTCTCCCTCTCTCTCTCGCTGTCTCTCGCTGTCTCTCGCTGTCTCTCACTGTCTCTCTCGTTGTCTGTCTCTCTCGCTGTCTGTCTCTCTCGCTGTCTCTCGCTGTCTCTCTCGCGCTCTCGCGATCGTCCACCTGTCTCATTCTCCATCCTCCACTTGCCCCTCCATCCTGAGGTGCCACGGTGGCTAGGAGATGTTAACTACCTCGCTTGGTACGCAGGAGTTCCTGGGATGGATCCCGACCCTGACGCCTTTATGTATTTGGAGTTTGCGTCTTTCTCTCCCCGTGGTCGCGTGGATTTTCCTCCGGGTCCTCTGGTTTTTCTCTCCACATCTAGAATCAACGTCACGCGTTCAGAGTATTTTGCTGCTATAAATGTCCACATGATGACGGTAATCAACTTCGTTGTGCTATCATTTGTGATAGCCAGGTCGCATATGAAAAAGAGCTATGTACATCATTGGACCTCCTTTGCCAGTACCAAAATATAATAATAGGGTTTTTCCCCTTTTCTTATGGCAACAAAGCTGAAACCTGTTTTACGAGGATTCATGTCTGCATTAACCACAATACTTGCAGTCAAAGTTCAAACAAAAAACACACTATGATAATATATGCATTGTCCTTGAATCTGATTGGTGCAAACCAGAGACAGCTTTCTTTAGAGCCTGGTCTCAATTGGTGCAAGACCAGATGACGCCAAAATGCGTTCAGCTCAAAGACGATGCACTCTCAAAGTAATGAGGGCTCGGGGCAAGCATCTACATCGTTGGACCTCCTTTGCCAGTACAAAAAAATATAATAATAGGGGTTTTTCCCCTTTTTTTCTGGCAACAAAACTGAAACCTTTTTTTACGAGGATTCATGTCTGCATTAGCCACAATACTTGCAGACCAGGCTCTAAAGAAAGCTGTCTCTGGTGTGCACCAATCAGATTCAAGGACAATGCATATATTATCAGAGTGTGTTTTTTGTTTGCATTTTGACTGCAGGTATTGTGGTTAATGCAGACATGATTCCTCGTGAAAAAGCTTTCAGTTTTGTTGCCACAAAAAAGGGGAAAAACCCTATTATAAGAGCTATGTAGTTCAGTGGGGCCTTACCTGGCAAAATGAAAAAAAGTGTTTATTATTAATTGTTTATCCCCATTCATTCTCCTCCATCCTTACCACCAAACTCGCCCTTATCCTGCACCTCGTCCTCCTCAACCTGCCACCTGCCACTTCCACTTCTCATCTTCCTCGTGAATCTCCTCCTCCTGATGATGATGATGATGAAGCTCGATCTGCGGTTGACGCCTTCCCCATCTCATCTCTGTCTCTTGCCTACACCTCTCTCTGTCCCTCTCATCTCGCCTCCCAGCCCCTCCGTCTCATCCCCGCGTCTCGTCACACCGGCATCTTGCGTCCCGCATTCTCTCTCCCCCCCCCTCCCCGCCCGCGCGCCCCGCCACATCTCTCCTTCGTCGTTCCCCTGTACCGACCTTCGGTCGCCTCGCTCAGCAAATTGTGAATTTTAATGGCCGTGGATCCGCCTCGGTAACAAAAAGGAAATAATGTCCGCTGAGTGGCCCCGCTACGATCGGCCGGCGGGAGGGGAGAGGTGGTTGGGAGGGGGGCGGGGGGAGGGGATGCGGCCCTCTTCCCCCCGAGGCGAGGATTAAGCGTTCAGATTTGCCCCCCGAGATGTCAATTTACTTCTGATGTGTAATTGCGCGCGATTCGAAACAGCACGCATGCATACAAATGGCCCGTAATTACAATTCCTTGCGCACCCCACCCACCACACCCACCCACTCCACCCCCCACCCACCCCCCCCCCCACTGAGCGCCCCCCCACCCTGCTCCCTGGAGCCACGAGCGTTATTATCTTAGCCGAGCAGTGCGGTGTCCATGGCAGCGGGGGGGTGGCGTTGCACCTGCCTGGTGGATCATCGTCGATTTGTCGGACGTATCTGCTGTAAGCCGTTTAGCCCGTGACATTGCTTTCTGAAAAGCTGAAAGAATATACGCACGCACGCATTATATGCTTTGCACGTACACGGCAAACACGTACAACATCTCTACTTAAAGCTTTCGTGACTGCAGGAATTGATATTCTTAAGCGATCGTCTTAAGAATATGAATAAGCGATCGTCATCCTGATGCGATCGAAACGTCGTAGTTTTTTTGTTATTTTCTTTGAACCTATCTACGTGACTTTACCGAAAGTCCCAAATAATGCGCGTCAAAAATCTCAAGCTTTGCGGAATCTTCTGTGAAACCCGGCTTGGCCTTAGAAGGGACCCGCGGCCCTGGTAGGAGCGCGAGGATGTGAGGAATGTGGATTGCTTTTCTTGCGTTAGCCCAGGAATGTTGAGGATCCATTTGTATTGGCTACGGAAACCTTAACGCTTTAAGTGAGACGTGCATTTTTACATCGCGTAATTGCACCGGGATCGATTGCGTTTATATAAGCAAGCCGCACCCGCCTGAACATTGCCTTGAGACTCAGTGAGGCTCTTTTCTGGATGAAGTCAATTAATTATTATATGTATAATAATTATGATGATGTATTCTGCCTCCTCGCCCGTTAAAAATCCCGCATCCAGTGGGGAGATGGAGTGTTGAATTCGGCTCAGTTGTGGGAGACGGTGGCGGTCGCTTCATCCAGCAGCGGCTTGTGGCGCCGTGGTGCCTAGGAGATGTTAACTACCTCGCCAGGTATACAGGAGGTCGTGGGTTCGATCACGACCCTGACGCTGGAGTTTGCATGTCTCTCTCCCCGTGGTCGCGTGGGTCTGGTTGCTTCCCTCCTCATTTAGAATTGACATCGCGCGTTCAGAGATGATTTGGCCGCGATACATTTCCACGTGACGATGACGACGATGATGATGATGAGCCCACTTCGTTGAGCTATCATTTGTGGCAGCCGGGTCGCTTCTGAACAATAGCGCCACGGCTCAGTGGGGGGGGGGGGCCTTACCTGGTGAAATAAAAAAAAGTTGTTTAATTTTAGTTGAAATTGACCGTAACTCACGACGACATTTTAAGTGGCAGCAGTGCCTGCACGTCCATTGAGCGCGCCGCGTGGATAATCAAACGTCGCGAGTTACCACGGCCGGTGGCGTCAAGCGCTGCGGAGCGACGGGGAAGCGCCGCAGATATTGAAAGGCGGGATGGTAAGAACAATTACGGAGTCTGTTGAATGGCTCCCGTTTCAAGCAAACTCACTAATATGATCATATATATCCCACGTCCATGAATATGATCATGATAATAATAATACAGAGCGACGTTTGGAAGACTGCCTGTCCGGCCCCAGTTATTCCTGAATGTAATCTTGGCAAATAAATTTCGATGAACTGCACCAAATAGATTTCCCCCTTTCCCCCATGCGCCGGCCGCGTGAATGAGCGCCCCCCCCCCCCTCCGCGTCTCATCTCGTGGCCTCTCTCCAGCAGCAGTAGCCGCAGCAGTATCAGCACCAGTAGCAGTACCAGCAGTAGCAGCAGCGGTAGCAGTACCAGCAGCAGTAGCAGCAGCACCAGTAGCAGTAGCAGCAGTAGCAACAGCACCAGTAGCAGCAGCACCAGCAGCAGCACCAGCAGCAGGAACACCAGTAGCAACAGTAGCAGTAGCAGCAGTAGCAGCAGCACCAGCAGCAGCACCAGCAGCAGGAAAACCAGTAGCAGCAGTAGCAGCAGTACCAGCAGCAGCAGTAGCAGCACCAGTAGCAGCAGTACCAGCAGTAGCAGCAGTAGCAGAAGCAGCCCTTCTGTTAACAAATTTCTACCATTGGTAAGTGCCTTCATCCACCTAGCGTAGCGGGATTGCGTGTGGAAATGTATAGCAGCCAAATAGTGTTATCAAACACACATTGATTCTAAACGTGGAGGGAAAAAATGGGAGGACCCCGGATAAAAATCCACACGGCCACGGGAAGAGAGAGAGAGAGACGCAAACTCCAATTATACAGCAGGCGTCGGAGTAGGGAGCGAACCCACGACCTCCTGCATCCCGGGCGAGGTAGTTAACATCTTCTTGCCACTGTGATGATGATGAGAGAGAGAGAGACGCACACAAACTCCAAATATACAGCAGGCGTCAGGGTCCTGTATCCCGGGCGAGAGAGTTAACATCTCCTTGCCACCGAGGAGGGCTGTCGCGTCGCGGCGTCGAACGGACGGGCGGTGCTAAAGGGCTGGGTTGCTCGGCCTCTCCGTCCCCTCTCTCTCTCTCTCTTCGTGCGCGGCGTGGGGGGAGGTTCAGGTGCGCGAGCTGCAGACTCGCCTGCAGAGCGTCCAGGCGGCGGCGCCCTCCAGCCCTGGCCGCCTTGGCCCCACGAGCCGAGCGGTCAACCCCAGCACGGGCGAGCTGAGCACGAGCAGCAGCAGCAACGACCTGCCCGTCGCCAAGGCAACGCACGCACGCGCACCCGCACACGCACGCACGCACACATGCACACGCGCACACACACACACGCACACACACACGCGCACCCGCACACACACACACACACGTGCACACACACACGCACGCACACACGCGCACACGCACACACACGCACCGCCAATGAGGCCGATGCGGGAGGGGGGGGAGGGGCTTTTGCGGCACAGTTTTTGCCGCCAGCTACCGCAGAGTTTCGCGGCGGCTGTGGCGCTACGGTTCTCCGCGGTTCAGCCGAAGTGTCTTCTTAAATAAATAAATAAATGGCGACGGCGCTGCTGCGCCCCACGGTCTGGACGCGCGCAAAACTCCGGCCGCAAATCTGCGCAATTCACTTCGGTTTGGCGTCCGGCGCCCGAAGCGGCGCACTGCCACCCTCACAGGAACCTGATCGCCGCCGCCGTCACCGCCACCACCGTGATCCGCGGATCAAACAAATCACTCTCTGTCTGTCTGTCTGCCGTACACCGGCGTGTACGGCAGACAGAGAGGGAGAGAGAGCAGTTGATGCGAACGCTGTCGCAAGAGGTCACGCGACGTTTGGCGCGGCAAGGCTCCTCCGCCGACCGTGCGCGCCGAACAAGCCGAGGCCTCTCCAAGCGAAGTGAACGCCGAGCCGCTGGCGGGGGGGGGGGCCCCGGCGGACGGGGGCCCCCCCCCCCATCCACCGGGGGGGGGGAAGGGTCAGTTGCTCGACGTCGTCGTCGTTGCTGTCGTGATAACGACAAGCTGGACGATGCGTCTCCTCCTCTGTCGTCCCTCCTCCTCCTCCTCCTCCCGCTTCTCTTCACATGCAAAAAACTGAAGCGTTTCTGGCAACATCCCTCCAGCGCTTCCTTCCGGGGAGCGCTGTGCAATCAGCAGCGTTGTTTCAAGGCCAAACCTCTGGACCCGTTTTCGACGTGCGGCGTCTCATCGGCAGAGCCGGCCTGGTCCCTGCAGCAATGCCGGCGAAACCGCCGACCTCGCGGTCAACGGCTTCATCTCAATTACAATCGATTTGCGCTCTCTCCATGAATGCGTCGATTCGGATCGATCGAAGCGATCGATCAGTGGACGTGAGATTTACAACCGCGCCGTGATTCGGCGGAAGCCCGGAACGGAAGCGCAGACGGCGGAGAGAGCCGCACGAGGGGGGCGTGCGGTGACGGGGCGTGCGGTGACGGGGCGCCGTGCGGTGACGGGGCGCCGGAGATTAACCGCGGCTTTTTTTGGGCCTGGGGTCGCGCAGCGGATCGCCAGATTGGCTGCTCTTGGTGAAGTGCGACACCAACCGGCGTCTCACGTGTCTGTGCGTGTGTGTCACGTGTCTGTGCGTGTGTGTCACGTGTCTGTGCGTGTGTGTCACGTGTCTGCGCGTGTGTGTCACGTGTCTGTGCGCGTGTGTGTCACGTGTCTGCGCGTGTGTGTCACGTGTCTGTGCGTGTGTGTCACGTGTCTGTGCGTGTGTCGTGTGTCACGTGTCTGTGCGTGTGTCACGTGTCTGCACGTGTGTCGCGTGTCTGCGCGCGTCAGGTGGCGGAGCGAGTGAAGCTGTCCAAAACGCGTCTGGATTCCGGCTCGCCTGCCGAGAGGCCGGTGCTGGGCTCTGAAATCAGCAGCATCGGGGTGAGTGCTCGCCGGCACCACGGGGTGAGTGCTCGCCGGCACCACGGGGTGAGTGCTCGCCGGCACCACGGGGTGAGTGCTCACCGGCGTCACGGGGTGAGTGCTCGCTGGCACCACGGGGTGAGTGCTCGCTGGCACCACGGGGTGAGTGCTCGCTGGCACCACGGGGTGAGTGCTCGCTGGCACCACGGGGTGAGTGCTCGCCGGCACCACGGGGTGAGTGCTCGCTGGCACCACGGGGTGAGTGCTCACCGGCGTCACGGGGTGAGTGCCCGCTGGTACCACGGGGTGAGTGCTCACCGGCGTCACGGGGTGAGTGCTCGCTGGCACCACGGGGTGAGTGCTCGCCGGCACCACGGGGTGAGTGCTCGCCGGCACCACGGGGTGAGTGCTCGCCGGCACCACGGGGTGAGTGCTCGCCGGCACCACGGGGTGAGTGCTCGCTGGCACCACGGGGTGAGTGCTCACCGGCACCACGGGGTGAGTGCTCACCGGCACCACGGGGTGAGTGCTCACCGGCGCCACGGGGTGAGTGCTCACCGGCGCCACGGGGTGAGTGACCCGGCAGCGGTGCTCCCTCCAGCAGTGGATTGAGCCTGGCTGATGACGGTGATGATGATGATATCAGTGCTGAGTTCCGTGCGTGTATTCTTCAGACCGCAGCCAATAGAATTGTCTGACTCCCATTCCGTTCCACATTTTGTGACGCTTGTCTTCATGCAGTTTCAGTGCAGCGCTTCCATCCTAGCAGTGGATTGATCACGGTGGCTAGGAGATTTTGACTACCTCACCTGGTATACAGAAGGTCGTGGGTTCGATCCCGACCCTGACGCCTGCTGCTGCTGTATATTTAGAGTTTGCGTGTCTCTCTCTCTCATCATCAGCACGGTGGCTAGGAGATGTTGACCACCTCGCCTGGTATACAGAAGGTCGTGGGTTCGATCCCGACCCTGACACCTGCTGTATATTTGGAGTTTGCGTCTCTCTCTCTCCCCGTGGTCGCGTGGATTTTTCTCCAGGTCCTCCGGTTTTTCCCCTCCACGTTTAGAATCGACGTCGCGTGTTTTGAGTATTTTGCTTCTGCTATAAAATTCCACGATGATGATGATGATTATAAGCCACTTCGTTGATGCTATCATTTGAGACAGCCATGTCACTTCTGAAAAAGAGCTAAATAGCTCAGTGGAGCCTCAACTGGTAAAATAAATAAAAAAATGTTTCTAATTTAGTTTCTATCATTGGTAGCGCTGTTCCTGGCTGCCCTTCTCGCTTGCCTGTGGTTTCCCGGAGCCTCCGATGATAACAAAAAGTTTGCCGGGCAGAAATACAAATGAGTGTTATTAGTTTAATAGTTTAACAAGGTTTTGAATAGTTTCACATCATGGCCGTACGCCTCGTCTGCGTGCGTTTCGCGTGCGTGCGTGTGTGTGTGCATGTGTGCGTGCGTTTTGCGTGTGTGTGCATGCGTGTGTGCGTGCGTGCGTGCGTTTCACGTACGTGCGTGTGTGTGTGCATGTGTGCGTGCGTTTTGCGTGTGTGTGTGCGTGCGTGTGTGTGTGCGTGCGTGCGTGCGTTTCGCGTGCGTGCGTGTGTGCATGTGTGCGTGCGTTTTGCGTGTGTGTGTGCGTGCATGCGTATGTGCGTGCGTGCGTTTCACGTGCGTGCGTGCGTGTGTGCATGCGTGTGTGCGTGTGTGTGTGCGTGTGTGCGTGCGTGCGTTTCACGTGCGTGCGTGTGTGTGCATGTGTGCGTGCGTTTTGCGTGTGTGTGCATGCGTGTGTGCGTGCGTGCGTTTCACGTGCGTGCATACGTGTGTGCATGCGTGTGTGCGTGCGTGTATGCGTGCGTTTCACGTGCGTGCGTGTGTGTGTGCATGTGTGCGTGCGTTTTGCGTGTGTGTGTGTGCATGCGTGTGTGCGTGCGTGCGTTTCACGTGCGTGCGTGTGTGCATGCGTGTGTGCGTGTGTGTGTGTGCGTGTGTGCGCTTCACGTGCGTGTGTGTGTGCGTGCGTTTCACGTGCGTGCGTGCGTGTGTGCGTGCGTGCGTTTCACGTGCGTGTGTGTGTGCATGTGTGCGTGCGTGCGTTTTGCGTGTGTGTGTGCATGCGTGTGTGCGTGCGTGCGTTTCACGTGTGTGCGTGCGTGTGTGCGTGTGCGTGCGTGTGCGTGCGTGCGTGCGCTTCACGTGCGTGCATGCTCGCTCGTCGCTGGCTCGTGGTGCAGGTGTCGAGCAGCGTGGCGGAGCACTTGGCGCACTCGCTGCAGGACTGCTCCAACATCCAGGAGATCTTCCAGACGCTCTGCTCGCACGGCTCCTCCGTGTCGGAGAGCAAACTGCGAGAGTTCGAGGTCGAGATGGAGCGGCTCAACAGGTGAGCGTCAGGGCGGGGGGGGGAGGGCGGCGGTTCTGAGCTCGCCGCTGGCTACGTCGCTATCACGGATACATTGGAGTTCATCTTCTTGTGGTTCTTTCGGTAAAGTCACGTAGAATGAGATTAAAATAATAGAATAAAACGATGAAATTCTCACGACGTTTTGGCCACAACACAAGTAGCCGTCCTCAGGTAGAGAAACAGGACTGTCCAGAAGACAGCGCTTGCTTTATTTTATTATTTTATTCTCATTCTACGTGACTTTACCGAAAGAACCAAAGAATATGAATCCTTGCAGTCACGAAAGCTTTAAAACGTTGGAGTTCGTTGGCAAATTCATCCTGTTGTCCGTGATTATCCGCCCCCCCCCCCAACCCCGCGTGGCGGATAAGCGGGGTACGTTTACGGATTTTAGGAATTGACGTGAATAACATTTGACGAAGAAAAATATTAAAACATAAATTCAACATTTTTGGGACACGTTTGTGTGTTATTTTAAATCATCATTACCATCATCACGTCGGATTAGCACTTCCGATTAGCGCGGTTGGCTACGTACGGTGTGAAAGAAGTTCAACATTACCTTCACATACACACCCGTCCGTGTGTGTATGTGAAGGTAAAAAAATATCCATCCATTCATTACCAATCCACCGATTGGATGAAAGCCTTCCCTCTCGCTCCATGATGGACTTTTTTCTTTCCATACTTCACCGGGCTGCTCATTGCGGGTTGGCGAAAGGTTGGTTGGGGTGGAGGGAGGGGAAGGTTAGGGCGGCACGGCCGGTTATCGCTCGTCGCCGATGTGACCCCGTGACCCGGAGTCTATAAACTTTTTTTTGCCCGCCGGCTCATCGCACCACTGCACCGGCCATGCCACACCACTCGTGACGTTTGTCCGAAGGTGCCACTGAAGCTTCACAGCTGAGTCGTCCCCCCCACCCATCCCCCCAACCCCCCGCCCGCAGCCGCATCGAGCACCTCAAGTCTCAGAACGACCTGCTGACGATCACGCTTGAGGAGTGCAAGAACAACGCGGAGAGGATGAGCATGCTCGTGGGCAAGCACGAGTCCAACAGCACCGCTCTGCGCCTCGCCCTGCAGTACAGGTGAGTGGCGGGCGCCAGCGGTCCCTCTGCCGCCCCCCCGGTTAAGGCGGGGGAGCGACGGCGATGGGGGCGCATTGAACGACACGTTTCTGTATTTACGAGATCTCGGCCAACAATCAATCCCGCATCGTGGACGACGTTGGTCGCGAAAGCCCCTGCGCGTTCAAACTGACGGCGGCCTCGCGACTCCGATTTGCGCGGTCGGCTACGTGTGGCGCGAAAAGAAGTTCAACGCACTCGCGTGCATACGACCCGAGTTCGATTCCCGCTCATGGCCTGCCACCGGTGAGGATTATCTGAACCGGTGCTGGGCATCCACCTAGGTCGACTCCGTTTAAAAAACGAGTACCTGGTGAGATGTGTAACCATCGCCACTGAGGAGACAAAGGCTGCCGGGCGTGGTGCTGGCCACCCACTCCGCCCCCGTCGTGTGCCGTGCCGGCCTTCACAGGTGCTGCTCGCTAGCAGCACTCGCCCCAACAGTCTGTTAACGGCCACCTGGGGGATCTTTGTCTCGTGTGTGCGCGTGCGTGCGTCCAGTGAGCAGTGCATCGAGGCGTACGAGGCCCTCATGGCGCTGGCTGAGAGCGAGCAAGGCCTCATCCTGGGACAGTTCCAGGCCGCTGGAGTCGGCTCCGTAGGTCAGTGGGTCACACGCGGGCTTCTCGTCTGCCTTGATTGGCTTCGGGAGAGAGTCGACGGGACAAAACACAAAAAAATTAGCGGCCTCGAGTCGGCCGCAAAGGGGTCAACGTGGACCCGTCGCGCGGAGGTAAAGGCACAGCCCCGCAAGCGCTCGCTCACGCTAGGGGGAGCTCTTAGAGAGCCCCCCCCCCCTGCCCTCGGGAGAGAGGGAGGGAGGATTATCCTTGGCCTACTGTGGCCCAGACGTATTTGAAGAGTCGGGAGCACCCACGCTTGACCCCACCACACGCAACTCACCTGGCGATCGGCTGACTGCGATGGACCCATTTACACTGCTGGGTGGAGGGGAGCGGGTTTGGGATTTAATAAACTTGCACCGTTGTTTCAAGTGCCGCACCGGGAGATGGAATCGATCAATCCAACCGATCAATGGCATTGGTAAATGGAATCAAACAATCAAATAGATCAATGGGATCGATCAATCCAGTCAATCAATAGAATCGATTAATGGAATCAAACAATCAAATTGATCGATGGGATAGATCAATGCAATTGATGTGATCAATCCAATCGATAAATGTAATATACCAATGTAATCAATCAATAAAATAGACCGATCCAATTAATAAATGTGATCGATCAACCCAATCGAACAATCCAATATATCAATCAAATCGATCGGTGTAATCGATCAATCCAGTCAATCAATGGAATCGATCATTGGAATCAAAAATCACATTGATCAATTAAATCGATCAATCCAATTGAACAATTGAATCGAGCAATACCATAGAACAATGGAAGCGATCAATCCCACCGATCAATGTAATCGAATCGACTAATCGGATCTCATCAATGCAATCGACGACCTAATAAAGTATTAAAGCTTTCGTGACTGCATAAAATTACTCATCGGTTTTTTCGGTAAAGTCACGTATGTAGAAATACAATAAAATTATATATTTTTAATATATTTTGTTTTTAATATAATTTTATTGTATTTCTACATACGTGACCTTACCGACAAAACCAATGAGCAATCGACGACCTCTCAATCGCGGTCCCGGCACGCCGACCGTTATCCTCCTGATCCCAAAGGCCCCCCCCCCACCCCTCCAACCCCCCCCCCCCCCCACCCTGCGTCGGCGCGAGCAGCCGAGCAGCCGAGCGGCGGCTGCGGCGGCGGGGGCAGCGCCGAGGACGTCTCGCGGGCACTCAGGAAGGCCCGCGACGGCCGCAAGGCGGCGGAGGCCGCGGCCAGGGCGCTGCTCGCCAGGCTGGACGGGGTGTGCGGCGCGCCCGGCGCCGTCGGCGGCGCCCAGCCCTGGGAGAGTCTCTCCTCGCACAGCCAGACCAGGTGGGGGTCGAGTCTGTCCGACCCGGGTGAGAAGTCGCGATGGAGGCGAGATGGCGGCGGTGTTGGGGGCGGGGGGGGGGGGGTGGGGGTGGTGGTTGAGTCACTCGCAGGACAAACGCTAGGAAGTGAAAACGAGTCAAGCGGGGTGGAGTCGAGACGAGAGGGGCTCTCGTCGCTGGCGGGGTGGCGGAAGATGGCGGCGGCCTTCGCGAAGGAGCCCGCTTCTGTTCGCGGCCGATACCGTCATCGACGCGGCGATCACCCGACCACCATCGACGCTCTCCCGGTCCCCGGAGCGGCGACTCCGCCGCTGGGAGCAGCCACGGAACCGGAGGGAGGGGGTGGCCGAGGGGGGTGAGGCGGCTGGTACCGGCGCGGCCGCCCACGGTGGGGGGAAGTTTCCGTCCCTCCGCATTTTGAATCGACATCAACGTGCGTTTGGAATTCATTTTGGCCGCTCTACATTTCCGCACGATAAGCCGCTTCTCTTGAGCTTTCCATTTGTGATGGCCAGGTCGCTTCTGACAAAGAGCCCCATAGCTCAGTGGGGGCCTTATCTCGTGAAATAAAAAAAATAGTTTTAAATAGTTGAGTTTGTTTGGCCGCGGCTTCGAGAAGCCGTTCCGGTTCCTTCCTGCCCAGATGTCCGGTGGCAGGCCGGGTGTGTTCCTGGGGCTGTGCTCAAGACTTGTTGTTGTGTCGGTGGTCCAGGTCACTCCTGCAAAGGAGGCTCGACGCTGGCCCCTTGGGTTCACAAACTGGTGACACAACATGCACTTGAGACTTGAATTGGGGCTCGCTCGCTCGTCATCTCACTCAATCATTTACATTCACTCACCCACCCACTCGCTCGCCCACTCACTCATCCGGTTAGTCACCCACTCACTCATTCACCCACTCGCTCGCTCGCTCGTCAAAACACTCATCTACTTAGTTGCCCAATCACTCATTCACTAACTCACCCACTTGCTCGCGCACTCATCCAATTAGTCACTCACTCACCCACCCACTTACTCGCTCACTCGCTCGCTCATTCACTCATCCACTTAGTCACCCACTCACTCATTCACTCACTCACTCACTCACCTACTCGCTCTTGCAAATGATTCCCTATCCCGGTCTCTCGCTCTCTCGCCTGGTTCAGCAAAAATCAACTCGACCTGGAACCTGAACTCCGTGTTGTCCCATTGCCCCCATCCCCGTCGCTCCCGCCACCCCACCCACCCTGTCCACCCACCCCCGCCAGCACGACGAGCTCGACGGCGAGCAGCTGCGACGCGGACCTGAGCAAGGAGGACGAGCAGCGGCTGCGCGACTACGCGCAGCAGCTGCGAGCCGACTGCGCCGCCGTGACGCTCACCATGTTGGAGCTGGAGAGCGTGCACCTCGACGCGCTGAGCTGCGACGTGAAGTCGCGCGGCGACGGCTCCCGCCTCGACCTCGAGAACGCCGTGCTCATGCAGGAGCTCATGGCCATGAAGGTGAGACTGCCGTGCGCGAGAGAGAGAGAGAGAGAGAGTAGGGGCCCCCCACCCCCGACTCTCTGCGAAGGAATGAGCGATCATTGATTGTTTGCCGCATGGGGCACGCGTGTCTCGTTCGCTGCCGGAGAGAGAGAGAGGACGGCTCGGAAGCGCCAGAAGGAACCACAGACGGGAGCGGTGAGGCAGCGGCCGGGCAATGAGCCGGCACCAGATTCGCCACCCAAAGCCACCCATCCACCCAAAGAACACACACCCACCCAAAGCCACCCAAATCCACCCATGCACCCAAATTCACCCATCCACCCAAATCCACCCAAAGTCACCCTCCCACTCAAATCCAGCCAATTCCACTCACCCAAATCCACCCACCCAAAGCCACCCAAATCCACCCACCCACCCAAATCCACCCATCCAAAGCCACCCATCTACCCAAAGCCACCCAATTCCACCCACCCACCCAAATCCACCCACCCAAATCCACCCATCCACCCAAAGCTACCCACCCACCCAAATCCACCCACCCACCCAAAGCCACCTACCCAAAGCCACCCACCCACCCAAATCCACCCAAAGCCACCCAAAGCCACCCACCCAACCAAAGCCACCCAAAGCCACCCACCCAAATCCACCCACCCACCCAAAGCCACCCAAAGCCACTCACCCACCCAAATCTACCCACCCACCCAAATCCACCCACCCAAATCCACCAACCCACCCAAATCCACCCACCCAAAGCCACCCATTTACCCAAAGCCACCCAATTCCACCCACCCACCCACCCAAAACCACCTACCCAAGTCCACCCACCGAAAGCCACCCAAATCTACCTACCCATCCAAATCCACCCACCCAAATCCACCCATCCACCCAAAGCCACCCATCCACCCAAATCTACCCACCCACACCAAAGCCACCTACCCAAAGCCACGCATCCACCCAAATCCACCCAAAGCCACCCAAAGCCACCCAAAGCCACCCACCCAACCAAAGCCACCCAAATCCACCCAAAGCCAACCACCCAAATCCACCCATCCACCCAAAGGCAACCAAATCCACCCACCCACCCAAAGCCACCCAAAGCCACTCACCCACCCAAATCCACCCACCCACCCATCCACCCACCCACCCAAGTCACCCATAGCCACCCAAAGCCACCCACCCACCCAAATCTACCCACCCACCCAAAGCCACCTACCCAAAGCCACCCACCTACCCAAAGCCACCCAAAGCCACCCACCCAAATCCACCCATCCACCCAAAGGCAACCAAATCCACCCACCCAAAGCCACCCAAAGCCACTCACCCACCCAAATCTATCCACCCACCTAAATCCACCCACCCAAATCCACCTACCCAAGCCACCCATAGCCACCCAAATCCACACACCCAAATCCACCCATCCACCCAAAGCCACCCACCCAACCAAAGCCACCCACCCAAATCCACCCATCCACCCAAAGCCAGCCAAATCCACCCACCCACCCAAAGCCACCCAAATCCATCCATCCACCCACCCAAATCCACCCAAATCCACCCAAATCCACCCACCCAAAGCCACCCAAAGCCACCCAAATTCACCCACCCACCCAAAACCACCCATTCACCCACCCACCCAAATCCACCCACACACCCATCCACCCAAATACACCCATCCACCCAAAGCCACCCACCCACCCAAAGCCACTCAAATCCACCCATCCACTCGAAGCCACCCATCCATCCGAAGCCACCCACCCAAATCCACCCATCCACCCAAAGGCATCCAAAGCCACCCAAAGCCACTCACCCACCCAAATCCACCCACCCACCCACCCAAAGCCACCCAAATCCACCCACCCAAAGCCACATAAAATCCACCCACCCATCCACCTGAATCCACCCACCCAAAGCCACCCATATCCACCCATCCACCCAAAGCCACCCACCCAAAGCCACCCACCCACCCACCCAAAGCCACCCAAATCCACCCACCCAAAGCCACATAAAATCCACCCACCCATCCACCTAAATCCATCCACCCAAAGCCACCCAAATCCACCCAAAGCCACCCACCCACCCAAAGCCACCCAAAACCACCCACCCACGTTCTGCTGCGCCGCCTTCTCGTCTTCCTGGATTGTTGTCCTAGTGGTTGGCTGCCCCTGGCCGTTTTGTGTTCGAATTCATCTGTCCCATCTATCTACCTTGCCTATCTGTCTAATCACCTCCATCCATCTGTCCCATCCATCCATCTCTCCTCACCCTCCTCCATCTGTCTGTCTTGCCTGTCTCTGTGTCCATCCCTCTCTTCCCACCTACACCCATCTGTCCACCTGTCTCTCCGTCCACCTCTCTTGTCGTGTCCGCGCGCCGGTCCATCATCCCCCCGTGACACCGGTCCCCCCCCTCCCCTGCCCCGCGGCGGTCCCCAGGAGGAGATGGCGGAGCTGAAGGCGCAGCTCTACCTCGTGGAGAAGGAGCGGAAGGCGCTGGAGCTGAAGCTGAGCACGCGCGAGGCCCAGGAGCAGGCCTACCTCGTGCACATCGAGCACCTCAAGTCCGAGGTGGAGGAGCAGCGCGAGCAGCGGAGTCGCTCGCTCGGCTCCGGCGGCACCGGCGGCACCGGCGGCACCGGCGCTCGTCTCAAGACGCCCAAGGTCGGCCTGACGCCGGTGTTTAGAGGGTGGTGCAGCGTCGCCACCATGTCATACGTTTTACAGGGTGGCGCAGCATGATTGTCATGGCCTTGGTGCAAGGAATTTAATGGAAAACCTCCGTCCAAGTTTCCCTCCCCTCTTCGTATATCGCCGGCGCACAGGCTGCTCCCGCCCGTGGTCCCCCGGTGCAGTTGCACCGCCTGCACACTGCCTGGGACAGACTTCCTCTGTGGGGGTCAGAGGGCACGGGGATGAGCGTGGGTGTGGAGGTGGGGACGGCAGTTGAGGGCGCTAGAGAGAGTCAGTCGACGAAGCCGCTCGGCAGTTTCCCCAGCTACGTTTAAGCTTTAAATATAAACTCCGACCTCTGAGCCGGGTGGTTCAGAGGGCAGGGCGCTGTGCTGGCAACAGCCGACCGACACGCCGTGGGACGTCCGTCACCCAGCAGTGGATTGAACAAACCTCCGTGGAGTCTCCGCTGACAAACGGACGGCGCGCAATCGCGGCTCCTCCACCCAGCAGTGGGTGGAGCACGCCGCTGCCAACGACCGTGATTACCACGGCGACGCTCTGCGGGCGTCCCCATCCGCGGTTTCCACTGAAACAATTTCCAGCGGCGTGGAGAGGAAGGGTTCGACTCGTCGCCATTCGCCGCCGCCCAGTGCCTTCCCGATGGTTGGCCCGCGTGTCGCGCGTTACAAACGCGGCTGCCCGTGAAACAAAACCTCCATTCTCCTCTGATCGTTGCAGCCGTGGAAACCGCAGCGGCCGCCCCCCTCGCCCGCCCCGTGCCCCCTTGACTCGTGACCCCCGCCCCACCCCCGTCGACCCCTTGTTGACCCCTTATTGACCCCCGCCCTGCCCCACCCCCCTTGCCGCCCAACAGGAGAACGGAGAGACGCTGACCGCGGCGATCACTCTGGCCGAACTCCGCTCGCCGCTGCACGATAACGACCTGGCTAACGAGCTCTCCGATGCCCTCCACAGGTCAGCTGACTGCTCATTAATAAATTTGGTCGTTGGTGCTGGGACGGAGGTCGGCCGCGAGGAGGTGGGGGGGGGGCAAGCCTTGTCCTTCCTTGCGTGGGGCTAGCCGCCTGAGACACGTTGGGCGGGTAGCCACACGTTTTGTGTTCGTGTGCATGGCGGCGGCGGCGGCAGCAGCAGGATGTTCAAGCAACATTTCTCTCGTTTGTATGTTGCACGGTAATACTGGGTGCTTCAAAGAAAATGTTAACGCTTCTGAGAATTTGCAACAACGCCACAAGCAGTGTGCTACCTCGGGGCACTGGAGATCACCTGGAGAAGATCCCAGGCCACGCGTTGACAACGATGGCGAGCTAGTGGAGACTCTTCGACTTTTTGAAGCTATTCACGTTACATTTGGTATCGTGTTACAGTGTATATCCGTGACCATATTGCCCATTTGTCCTATTATTATGTATGTTGAGCAACATACATAGCCAACTCGTGCTCATCGGAGGTGGGGGGGTGGGAGGGGGAAGGACAACAAACTAAATACAACAACGACAACAAAACAGTTCTAGAGAAATGAGTTTTCGATCAAGGTGATTGTCAAAGTGCGTAAGGCACCAGCGTTCCAGACGGCCGCAGGAGCGCCTCGCGAAGCGCCGCGAGAGAGCGAACGCGGCCGCGGAGTTGCCGCCCCTCCGCCGTCGGGTCTCTCGGCGTCCACCTCGGACACGAGCAGCAGCGTCGCCCGGGAGAAATGGACGTCGCTCATTTGAATCCGGACGCGATCGGTCGAGCCCACGCGTTCGCACAAAAACAAGCATCCCCCCCCCCCCCCCCCCCCCCCCGTGTAGCCTTAAACAGACTGTTGGAGCAAGTGCTGTTAGCGAGCGCCTATGAAGGCCGGCACGGCACACGAGGGGGTGGGTGGCCAGCACCACGCCCGACCGCCTTTGTCTCCCCAGTGGCGATGCTTTTACACACTGCACCAGCTACTCATTTGAGGCCGAGTCGACCTAGGGGAGGCCCGGGACCGGTGCAAATAATCACGACCGTTGTTGGTGGCCGCGAGCGGGAATCGAACTCGGGCCGATGAGTTTCGTTCGCGCGGCCTGAATACAAATAAGACAAATACGAAGATCCCCTCCATATAGCCTGTAACAGAGAGTTGGGGCGACTGCTGTTGGCACGATCGCCCTTGATGGACACACGCCTGCACACCTTGGCTTCATTCAGGGGTCGACATTTCAGCATTTTCGCAACCCACCCAATATAAAATCCGAGGGCGGCCACGTGCGGTGCGACTGGACATCTGTTGAAAAAGGAATTCTGCAGCTCATCGGATACCTTCAGCATGAGTAAATATTCCGATTCTGTTAGCGGTCGGCACCACCGGGCTCCCGCAGCCCAGGAGGGTCCGCCGGTGCCCGCGGGGTGCCACAACGTCGCCGGCGGTCTTCAAATCCCCGCACCGCCGCGTCCGTTTGCCCACCCGGCAGGAGGGAGTGGGTCGCACCACAGTGAGTGGACGGCCCAGGCCGGCGAGCGGTGGGGTGATGATGTGTGGGTACGTGCACCACCGCTTCCGAGAGCCGGGTGCGTAAAGTCTCTCTCCCATTGGTTCGCTCCAGCGAAGGCTCCTTCCGCCGGCGGTGGCGTGAGCGGCAATTGCGGGGATGCGCCTTTAATTATTATTATTGTTGAGTATTTTGTTGTTCTTTTATGTGAAAAAAAATATTAAGAATTTCGCATAATTTATTGTTTGTATTACGCTTTATTACTTTATTATAATAATTGTATTTATTATTTCAGATTGATTATTATCTGATTACACTTTATTATTATTTTATCATGAGATTTATTTATTTTATTTCCTAATTTATTTATATTTTAAATAAATTGCCACCGCGTCCCTCTAGGGAGAAGAAGCTGAAGGTGCGTGTGCAGGAGCTGGTGGCGGCGCTGGAGAAGCTGACGCGGAGCAGCGAAATCAGGAACCAGCAGTCGGCCGAGTTCGTCAATGACCTCAAGCGAGCCAACAGGTGACCCCCACCCCCCCTATGGGTGACCCCCACGGGTGACCCCCACAGGTGACCTCCACGGGTGACCTCTACGGGTGACCCCCATCGGTGACCTCCACGGGTGACCTCCACAGGTCACCCCCACGGGTGACCCCCACGGGTCATCCCCACGGGTCATCCCCACGGGTGACACCCACGGGTGACCCCCACGGGTGACCCCCACGGGTCACCCCCATGGATGACCCCCATGGATGACCCCACGGGTGACCCCCACGGGTGACCCACTAGGGTCACTCCCACGGGTCACCCCCATGGATGACCCCCATGGATGACCCCACGGGTGACCCCTTGGGATGATCTCATGGATGACCCCCACGGGTGACCCCATGGGTGACCCCTTGGAGTGACCCCCACGGGTGATCCCCACGGGTGACCCCCATGGGTGACCCCCACAGGTGACCCCCATATGACGCGGACGCGAATTGGATATAACGCGATCGAGTGAACGGAATCACGTCGCAGCGCGAGTAGGAATATGCACGGCTGCCCCGGTGTAGCATCATCGCACGAGGTGGGATGCTGCTGGATGCTTCTAGATGCTACCCACGCGTACCTCGGTCTTTGTCCGACCTGCGTATGCGTCTCACGAGTTATCGCGCGCTGTGCTTTACCCCCTATAGAGTCTATCATTTATTATAACGCGATTTACCATCACGCAGTGTTCTTCAGGAACGCAACTACCTCCGCGTTGTAGGAGAAACAGACCGTCACGTACGTGGCCGTGTGTGTTTGTGTGTGTCTGTGTGTGTCTGCGCGTGTCCGTGTGTGTCTGCGTGTGCCGTTTGTATCTCTGTGTGTCTGCGCGTGTCAGTGCATGTTTGTGTGTGTCTGTGTGTGTCCGCGTGTGTCCGTGTGTGTTTGTGTGTGTCTGTGTGTCCGTGTGTGTCTGTGTGTGTCTGCGCGTGTCCGTGTGTGTTTATGTGTGTTTGTGTGTGTCTGTGTGTGTCCGCGCGTGTCCGTTTGTGTGTCCGTGTGTGTTTGTGTGTGTCTGCGCGTGTCTGCGCGTGTCTGTGTGTGTTTGTGTGTGTCTGTGTGTGTCTGCGCGTGTCCGTGTGTGTCTGTGTGTGTCTGCGCGTGTCCGTGTGTTTGTGTGTGTCTGTGTATCTGCGCGTGTCCGTGTGTGTTTGTGTGTGTCTGTGTATCTGCGCATGTCCGTGTGTGTTTGTGTGTGTCTGTGTGTGTCTGCGCGTGTCCGTGTGTGTTTGTGTGTGTCTGTGCGTGTCTGCGCGTGTCCGTGTGTGTTTGTGTGTGTCTGTGCGTGTCTGCGCGTGTCCGTGTGTGTTTGTGTGTGTCTGCGCGTGCCCGTGTGTGTTTGTGTCTGTCCGTGTGTGTTTGTGTGTGTCTGTGTGTGTCTGCGCGTGTCCGTGTGTGTTTGTGTGTGCTGTGTATCTGCGTGTGCGTGTTTGTGTGTGTCTGTGTGTGTCCGTGCGTGTCTGCGCCCCCACGCCGCCCACGCCCCCGCACCGCGCAGCAACCTGATAGCGGCGTACGAGAAGACGAAGAAGAAGTACCAGAGCAAGGTGAAGAGGCTGGAGGCGCAGACGGTGTCCATGGTGGAGCGGCACGAGACGCAGGCGCGGATGCTCAAGCAGCGCATCGCCCTCCTGGAGGAGGAGAACACTCGCCCGCCCGCCAACGAGACGTCGCTGTGACCGCGACCGGCGGGGGGCGACCGGAGGGGGGGGGGGCGACCGGCGGGGGGGGCGACCGGCGGGGGGGGCGACCGGCGGGGGGGGGGGGGCGACCAACGAGGGGAAACGGCGGCGGCGGCAACGGCGTTAGGCAACACCATTGGCGGCAACGATGGTGGGAACAACGGCAGCAACAACGGCGGCAACGACGGCTACAGCGGCGGCAGCAGGCGGGGCCGCTGGCCAAGGACTTCTCGCCGATCCATCACCGTGACACGCACACACACACACGTGTAGCCTGTAACAGACTGTCGGGGCAAGTGCTGTAAGCGAGCAACTTATGAAGGCCGGCACGGCACACGAGAGGGGGTGGGTGGCACAGAGAGGCACGCCGTTGCCTGCGCTCCCGGGGAACGCGGAACGCTGGGCCAAAGTCGGGTCCGTCGCGTCCGAGCATTGGGCCAATCGCGCGCGGTTCGGATGCGTCTGGCCCCCAGCGTTGGCCCAACGTGTTCCGTGTCACACTGGGGGGGGGGGGGGGCGGTCGCGCGGCCGGCCCACTCACGGAGGTTGGCCGCGGGGTTTTCGAATTAAGAAATCCGCGGCAGCGGGCCCTGGTTCGTTCCAGGGCCGATGCCGCTTCCGCAGATATTTCCCGTTTCGAAAAAATACAAAAAAAGTTGCCAGTCGGATGCGTCCCCTCGCCACCCTACCGCTGTTGTAGGCTGTCGGGGCGCGCGCTGTTAGCGAGCGCCTATTAAGGCCAGCAGGGCAGCGCACCAGGGGAGCGGCGGGGGGTGGTGCTGGCCAGCGTTACGGCTGAGGTTACTCCCTCTGGTGCCGATGTTCACCGTACACCATGGGGAGCTCCTTTTTTGTTCAGGCCGAATGGACCTAGAGGAGGTCCGGGCAGGGTTTGGAGATATATGGCCACTTTTGCCGTGTGCGGGTTAAGAGACGGAATGCGGGACAAACGGGATTGGATCGCAGTGCGCGAATCACTGTGACACCGCACAGATGCTCGCGTGCAAAATGCAAAAGACAAATTTCCCCCGAATGGCCTTTGACAGTCCGTTGGGGCGAAATCTGTGAGCAAGCAGCCATTCAGGCCGACATGGCACACGAGGGGGTGGGTGGCCAGCACCCACGCCCGGCCGTCTTTGTCTCCCCAATGCTGATGTTTTACACCGCACCAGGTACTCAATGCAAGGCGCGGGACCGGTTCGGATATTCGTCACTGATGCGGGCTGTGAGGTGGAATCAAAACTCGGGTCGCCGGGTTCGTCGCGCGCTGCGCTAACCGCTGCGCCACCACTCGCGTGCGCACACACACACACACGTGCACACGCAGACGCGCGGGCATTTCTGTACAAATATGGGTGTGTATTGCATGCATGTGCTGAGATGCATTCCCAATTTAACTTATGACCTGCAGCGCTGTTAACCGGATTTCCAATTCATTTTGTGGTCAAATTAAGTGCCATTTGCTCGATTTAAAGATTGTAAACTCAATAGAAGGTTAAAAAAATATGTTCTTACGAAAAGTATTCCTATTCGTGAACAAGGTGAAAAAAAATATATACGCATTCATATTTTTTGGCGAGCGAACACTCGGCGGATGTGGCAAATACCTCTTTAGTGCGATATAAGTTCCACCTTTGACAGATCGCATCCAACCAGAAAGTTACTTTGCAATACGCAGAACGCGACAGGTTCCGTCCAATCACAGGCAGCGACGATCGGGAAGTTGCTGTGAAATGCGCAACACGTGACAGGTTCCGTCCAATCGCAGGTGGCTACAATCACGACGTCGGTGTAAAAGCGCAGGTAAATAGCGGCACACAATGGCCAGTAGTAGCGCAAGGCTATCAGTTTGAAAACTCATTTCTTTAAAACTGCTTTTTGTGTTTAGCTTGTCGTCCTTCGCCCGCACCTCCGGTTAGCGCGGTTGGCTATGTACGGTGCGAAAGAAGTTCAACGTTACCATACCCACACCTCCGGTTAGCGCGGTTGACTACGTACGGTGCGAAATAATTTGAACGTACCATACCCACACCTCCGGTTAGCGCGGTTGGCCACGCACGTACATACAAAGACGCCGTTTCACAGACATAGTCTTCAGCGGCTAATTCCAGTTCAGTATCTGCAGATAGATTTTGCTTATTTGGGCCGTGAACGCCGGCAAAACGGATTTCTCTCCCCTCTTGGAATGGCATTGCGGGATCTTCAACGTGCCAGTATATATACGCACCCGCAGTATTAACCACGTCCCGTGCCGGTGACGCCTGCAAGTTGCAGAGAACCATGGTGGACATGAGCGCCGCCACTCTATGATAGCCAGCGCCAAAACTGTGCCACATGCCCCGTCCCGCGTGGCCGTTTATTTCCGATTCCCCTTCCATTCACGTCCAACTACGTGAACAGAACAGAATTGGAAACTGAAACCGTGCGTGCGTGTACGCCTCCGTGCATCATCGTACGTGTACGTTATCCATTTGTCTTCCGATTCCGTTTTGATGACCTGCACATACGTACGTGTACGTCATAGTACACGTACGTATGTGTAGGTCGTCGTACGTGTGTGTTCGTCATCGTACGTGTGCGTCATGTCACGTAGGATGACGTACATGGTGACGTCATCGGAACGGGAAAAATGGTTAACCAGGGTGTCCTGCCGGGTTTCGAACCTCGAACCTCTGTCAAAAGCGGCAAACCCCTGGGGCGTGTCGCCGCCCCCGATGAAATACCGATCGCGATTGTCGTTTTTTGTCTTGTTACGTCGCGCCCTTTGCGTTCTGGGTGTCCTCGGCCATTGGGACTTCCGTGAACTTGTGCGACGAACGTTCGTCTGCGTTTAATCCAGCTGCAAACGAAACAAAAAGGCTCGTTACGGGAAGAAGAAGAAGAAGAAGAAGAAAAAAACGGCGGAGATATGTCGCCCACGTCCCCAACGCAGAAACTCAGTCGGTGTCCAACTCGGTCGCCAAACGCCACATCTCTGGCGCCGGCCGTTCGGTGGGTCCGCATTGCGGCTGCCTGCGATCCACCGCTGCAGAGGCAGCAGCGAGAGGGGTTGACGGATCACCGCACCTTCCCGTCGGCGTCGAGGTGGAGCCGTAACCCCCTGGCCTCGCCAGGAGATGGCAGCACAGCAGAGTGTGGTCCAATCTCCACCCGTATTCCATCCGTACGGGGAACAGAGCGTTGCCCCCTCGCTCACACGCGTGGGTTTTTCCCTCCGGGTGATTTCGGTTTGCTCCCGCGTGCATCGATTAAAAAAACGACTCGCATCGTAAATCGGCTGAGACCGTCTTAAAATTAATTATAATCCCAACGTAGCAGGACCCTCCTGAAACAAGTCACTGGAACTCGTTTTGGCTTTACTGGATGCATGGAAGGATGGATAAGAAATGAATAGCCGTGGTCGTATTAATATTCTTATGCCAGCCTTCGCTGTGGGCATGGAGTGCGTGCGACGCACAACGGGGCAGCCACTCTCCTCTGGCCTCTGAACCGAACAACGTCCTCGCGGAGAGCAGCTCTTGTAATTAATGTAAATATAAGCCTAGACTTGCAAACCAACTTTTGCACACACAGAAGTATGCAAGAGATTCGTAGAAAGTAATTTCAAGATACGTGCGTGTGTGTGCGTGTGTGTGCGTGTGTGTGTGCGCGCGCGCGTGCAGCGCTCGGCAGGGCGAGAGACGTGCATCTCGCGACGTGACGATTGACGAATCGGGAATGCGTTCAATCTCTAGCGCGTGCGACCCTGCGCCCGCGCGCGCGCGTATCGTGGTCACGAGGATCGATCGTTGCGGCAGCGGTGCGTCTTTCCCCCCCACCCCCCCCCCCCCCCACTTGAATCCACGTCGCGCAATCGTCATCAACGTCCTGAGCCGAAGAATCCGTTCGGAGCTTCCGCAGTGCCTGCGTGAACCGCAGGGAGCTGCAACAACAAGACCAGCCCGTGTGAAGTGGACGCCACGGATCCCTTCAAAGTGACCTCTGGTCCACACAGTGGAGACGCTCATCTCCCTGCACCTTGAGAACCCGGCGTGACCACAGGCCAGGAGGAGGTCAGCGCAGCCGGCTCGGCGCTCCGAACATCCCCAAGGCAGTTGCCTCTCTGAGCACAGACGCGGAATCGCTCTGAGCGTCGCTCTGAGGCCGGAGGGCAGCAGATTCCCCCAGAGGCGGCCTCTCGAAGCCTCCTCTCTCTTTCATTCGCAGTCTCGTCAGAGCAGCGTGCATTTCTGCAGGGGTGGCAGATGCTACGGAACTATATAAATCTAAGCACGCCATATGAATATATGCATAAGATCCCCCTAATAGCCATGCAAACTCCTGGGGCAAAGTGCTATTAGTGCGCACCTCGTCTTCCCAATGCTGATGCTTACACACGCGCACCAGATACTCATTCAGTGTTAAATGATTTCCTGGTGTGCGCGTGCGTCGGCATTGGGTGGGGAGCGGTGGTGCAGCGGTTAGCGCGACGCTGCACCACGAACCCGGCGACTGGAGTTCGATTCCCGCTCACGGCCAACACCGGTGACGATTATCTGAACCTGTCATGGGCCTCCCCTAGGTTGACTCAGCCTCAAATGAGTACCTGGTGCGGTGTGTAAAAAAAAAAACATCGTCACTGGAGACAAAGGTGGCCGGGCGTGGTGTTGGTCACCCACCCCCTCGTGTGCCGTGTCGGCCTTCAAAGGTGCTCGCTAACAGCACTTGCCCCAACAGTCTGTCAAGGCTATACGGGGGGGTCTTTGTCTTTGTCAGCGTCGGGTGCTCTGCTAATTCGACTTGGGGCTGGCCCAGGGCAAGTTGAGATCCCACTTGCCGCCGATGACCGACGTTAGGCCTGGGCAGGAGTCGAACTCACGTCAGCACACACACACACACACGTGCATCGACCGGTCTGCGACGACTCTTTTCATAGTGGGACACTTGCAGACGTGGCTACTTCATTCTTATGTAGTTGTACATATATTTTTTTATAAGACGCCTTTATGCAGATCATAGCGTATATATATGTGTGTGTACTTTCTG